CCGTCCCGTTGAATTTTTCGGGCTTTTCCCCATGACTGACGGGAACATTAGGCACGGTAATACTCGTACTTGCCATTTGTCTGTTATATATTGATATACAGACCAGGAGTCAAATTATAATAATTATAACAACAATAATAATTAAATAATTATTACTATAGTATAAAGCGTATCTGTCTTAAGATTGTGGATCAAAAATGTATCATATACTATAGTATAATTTATTTAAATATTATTTGTAAATATAATATTTATTATAATAATCTATATATATTTATATAGTTTAATATCAAGAAAATAAAACTATAAAATAAAAGAACCTGTTAAAGTCGAGGCTATAATTTAATTCTATAGCCTTAAGACAGATACGCCCCGCTACGGTGCTAACGGACTCTTCGGCGTCTATCTCCCAGGATACAACGACTTTTCTTCCTTTGGTAGTAGCACTTCAAACCAATGGAATAGGCGAACCGACTCGGTGTAGTACTCTCAGTTGAACTCAGACTCGGAGACCAGGATTGAACCCTAACTCGGAGACCAAGATTGAACCCAAACTTGGAAACCAAGGTTCGAACCCAATCCAAACCAGTTTAGGTTGAACCCAAACCAGTGGCTGAACCGAACAAAGATGAATCAGAAGAAGAGAAGAAGATTTCTGAATTGGTGTGTATTGAAATGAACCCAATGATGGGTATTTATAGGCTTGTTGGTGCCTATTCTGAATGGGTGCACCCATAGTCCGAATGGGTGCAACCATTGTTGACCAATCAAAATTAAAAATCTGTTGGTGGTTTTTAATTTGTAAAGGGTGCAACCCTTGGTTCAAAAATAAAACTGATTTATGGTTTAAATAAACCCAAACCGTTTTAATTTTGATCCAGCCCAGCCCTTTAATTTCGTCCAATCCAGCAAGCAAACAATCCAACTCGGCGGCCATTAATTCAGCCCAGTAAACAGGCCCATTTTGATAAGTCCAGCAACAAAATAAAATTCAACCACACAGGCCCATCTCAACTTTGTGTAAAAAGTTAAACCCATTTCACAATCAAGCCCCACCCCGCCCTAGCCCGGACCGGGTCGGGTTGGTCGGGCGGCGCGCGCTTGTGTGGTAGTTGGTTCGGATCCAGGCTAGCCTAGGTCCTCCCCCTCTTAAAAACTTGGGTGCCCTTGGGCCCAAACCCAAATCCCATACTAGACATATATATACTCAAGGTTGCTTTGCTACTTTTTCGATGTAGGACAAGCATTTCCCACTTTATTCACACCCATTTAGGCTTTATAAATCACTTACTTTGGAGCCAATTTCTCATTCACCCGGAAACGGATTTGAGAAAAATAAATATATCACGTTCATCTCCTCGCAGAGAGGAACGCGCTCGTCAATAGATTCGCAAAAAATTCTTAGCGGAATCTTTTAAAAATCCTTCCAAAGTTTGCGTTTTCTAATGCCGTTTCCAACAGGAGGTAGTGAAAGGCGGTGGCAGTAGTGGTGGTGGAGGGTGGTGCTGGTGGTGGTAGAAGGCGGTGACAGTGATGGTAGTGGTGAAAGGTGGTGGTGGTGGTGGCGGCGGCGGTGGTAGGGCGGTAGTGGTGGAGGAGGTGAAAGGCTATGGCAGCAGTAATGGTGGAAGGTGGTGAAAGTCGATGGCAGTGGTGGTAGTTGTGGTGGAAGTCGGTGGTGGTGGTAGTAGTGAAAGTTAGTGGTGGTTATGGTAGAAGATACTGGTGGTTTTTGGACCTCGAACATGAAGATTTTTTGGGAAGTTGATTTAAAAAAAAAAAAAATTATTTGGGAATGGAATGGCCATTTTATATGTTTAGTTGTAGAATAGATTTTCATTTCCAATAATGAATTTTAATTCAAATGGAATTATCATTTCACTTTAAATTACATACCAAACAAATGAATGATTGAAATGGACATTCCATTCCTACACACCAAACACAGCATAAGAGTTTTAGCTAATTCGATTCAATCCGAAAAATCAATGAATTCAATTTTGTTATTATTAAATATCTGATCTGATAATCAATGAATTTTATTTTGTGAATTTCATATTTGCGAATTATGGAATTCATAATCGGGCGGGCTTATGGGGGCACAAAACCTTTATTTCCGGTTTCGGAGTCCAAAGAGAAAACAATTTCCCTGGCACAATTAAAACTTCTTATGGCTTTGACAGATCAAATTTTTTTAATTTATTTTTTTTCTTTCATTCCAGCCGGTTCAAATGCTTCGCCCCATATCTCGGTCACACGATACTTCTATAATAGTCACTTTCATGGCTTTCCCCTTGAGTTGACACTTGGACGGTTTTATTTATTTTTTATTTTTTATCTCAATTCACGGATTTAATTTTGTGAATTTCATATTTACGAATCATCGAATTTATTATCGGGCGAGCTAATGGGGCACACAACCTTTTATTTCCGGTTTCGGATTCCAAAGAGAAAACAATTTCTCCCGCACAAATAAAACTTCTTATGCCTTTGAAGCATCAATTTTTATTTATTTTATTTTTTTGTCTAGTTGGTTCAAATGCCTCGCCCCTCACTATATATAAGGTTTTGTATCTCGGTCACATGATACATCTATAAGTCACTTTCACGGCTATCCCTTGAGTTGACACTTGTATTTATCTCAATTCAGGGATTTTCGAGTTTATAATGGCTTCTCTTTCCTAAAATGATAAAAAATAAAAATAAAAATTACATGACAATTAATTATAGGTAACAATAAACCAAAATGTATCTAGTACAAAATAAAAATCAGTATATATATGTACAACTTAGAATGATCCTATAATTTCAAGAAATGATAACAAATTGTTGCCACTTCATACTAGTCATTTTTAAAATTTTGTTATGTCTTAATCATAACAAATATTCCAACAATTTCTTAAAAAATATTGTAGTCTTTGAATAATTAACTGTGTATCTATTTACAAATAAATTATCTAGACATTTATTACCTTTCCTTCTTCTCCTAGAAATTTTGTTAAGTTTGTGTTATTTGGTTAAGATGTTTATTGTAATTATATATAATTTAAATAATATTTATTTGGGAATTTGAAACAAATGTACAGATTTATTGGATTGCATGCGTTAAGTATGGACCTTTTAACATGTACAAATACTAAAGGTGTTGTAAATGTACTTATGTTGACATATTTTTTCTTTTTCTTTTTTTGAAAGTTTAAGCAAATTTATAAATTGAAATACGGTTCACGTAGACATATTATATTAACATAATATGTGATACCATATAGGGAAAATTATATAGACTTAGGAGTCTTAAATAACAAAATGGTGTATTTTAATATTTTAATATTTTAATTTGATTAAATTAAACAAAATAATTACAAATGTATCGAGAATTATTCTTAAGGTCCAAAATACTTTCCAAACTCTTATTCTAAAAAAAACAAAATATTCTTAAAATCACATAATTCAAACAAAACAAAAAAATTTGCCATCGGATTGGATTGTTCCAGAATGAAGAATACTCAATTCGGAAGAGTGTTACAGTATAAGATACAGAAAGGTTCATTTTCGATTATTCAAAGTGGGTGATAATGGAAATTTATGTTGGTACCAAATTTCATTCGGTTGCAACTTGTATAGTTGTATGCAATAAATGGTTGGATTGGTATTGCACAGAATTGTTTGATGAAATGCCGGAAAGGGACCTGATGTCTTGGAATTCTTTGATTTCGTGCTACTTTCGGGTGGGTTTGCACTACCAGGCATTAAAGATATATCACTGAATGAGAAATTTGGATTTGGGTTTTGATTGGTTTGGTCCTGTTAGCTTGGTCTCTTCTTGTGCTCATGTGGGTGTATTGAGTAGTGTTGTTAAATGCATAGATTGGACAATGCTTTTGTTGCTCTGTAGATATGTATGCTAAATGCAGAACTTTGGGTACTGCTCTTAGTGTCTTCAATGGGATGCAAAAAGCAGAGATTAGTTTACATGGAACTCAATGATTGTTCGATATGGAGCGCATGATTTTTTAATCAGACGTTGATGGGAGAATCCAGCCAGATTCAATCACAATTCTTTTTGTATTCACCTTGGAAATGGTAATGTTGTGGCTCATTTAATGACCAAAAAAAAGTTCTTGAAGTCAATTGTGATGATTTGGAGTGGAGCATATAATTTCAGTTGTTGTTAAATGTTATTCTCCGTGACTGTATCGTTTTTCCTATTCTAATAATTCTATGATATATTTGTAGTTGGTGTCCAAAAAAAAAAAGAAAAAATGTTTAGTTGATGAGTGTTGAGTATTTTTACGTGATGAACTAAAAATTCAATTTGAAACCAGAGATTAAGCATTATGGATGCATGGTGGATCTGTTTGGACAAGTTGAAAAGCTTGAAAGACCATTTGAAATTATTGAGAGTTCTTCATTCTCGAATGATTCAATTCGATGGCAAATAATTTTTGAAATTACATGATTTTAAGAAGGATATTTTATTATTTTTTTAGTAAGAGTTTAAAGACATTTTAGTTGTTAAGGATAATTTTTGATGAATTTATAATTATTTAGTTTAACTTAATCAAACTGAAAAGTGAATTTCTAAAATAAATCATTTTGTTATTAATGACCCCTCACTTTGGCTGTGCAGAGGTGAGACTCCAATCAAATTTTAGGTATCATAAAATTTTCGCGAAATATTCTTCGCTCTCCTGAATTAGTCTACAATGAATTTGAGAGAATTTTATTTTATTTTATTTTTTTCACTCCAGAAAATTTAAGTTCTATCAAGTTATTTTTTTTATTACCAAAAAAGAAAAGAAAATTGATGGAATGATCAAGTTAATAGGGGAAAAATGAAAATGGGGTTATAATATACTCAAAACAAAAGTAATATTGTTGCCAACTTGTTAACGAGGACACGAAAACGACGTCATCTCTGTGTTTTTGGAAGGAAACGACACCATTATTGTCATTTTGCTTCTAAGAAGGAAGTACAGGGTATACACACCTCGTGAAAGTGTGAAAATACATGTCATACAGATACAGATACAGATACAGAGAGTCAGAGAGGTGACCTATAACCACCTATTAGCCTAACAAAAGAAGAGAGAGGGGGGGAAATGGGAGGAGTTGGAGCGTTTTGGGGGACGAGGGTGATGGAAATAGTGAAGAAGCATGATTCGGGAGGTCTTGTTTGGAAGAGAATTAAACTCACCACCACCAGAAAAGCTAATGCCAAGAAGAGACTTCTTAGGGTTTGGCAGGTATCTCTTTCTCTCTCTTACTCATTTCAATCTCAATATCAATAAATAGTCATGCTTCATTGTTTTTTGTTTTATTGTTGGTGGTTTTTCGAAATTTCCGAGAATGCTAGGTTTCCAGTACTAAATGAGGATCTTTTGCTTACACCGTAATTGCAGACTGATGTTACTTTCTGCATCACTATACATGGCTTGACTTTCGTATTTAATCAATAAGATATATATATTTTTCAGCTATTCCTTGTGGATTTGGCAGGTGTAATTTTTTTATATACTATCCCAAATAAGTGTACAACGATTCATTGTGAATAAAAGTAGGGATTTATTGAAGAATTGGGAATTATCAGTCAAGTTAGCGTTGCCATGGGAATTATCTGTGACGACTATAATGCTCATGTTTCAAGAATATTTGCTTAAGTGCTTCTTTTGTTCTAGAGACTGCATTGCGAGATCGGTGAGAATTATTATTTTTGAGCATATGATACTTCTTAAACTATATGGTTATCCTGCCACACGCAAAGAGAAACTATATGGTGTTTCTTCAATGACATTAGGAAAAATGTGCCACAAAACTTAAATTTATATCTTTTTAGGCAATTTTTTTCTGAAATTTGTCTTCTACAAAAGCAAGTAGAGTCTTTACGAAAATGGGTTTTTTTTTTTATTTTTTATTTTTTATTATTTTTTTTATATTTTATTTTATAGAACTACCTTTGAAGTTGGTGGTAAATATTTTTAATTGTAGTGAGAAAATGGTTTAATTTTTTATTTTTTGATTAATAAATTCCACTAAAAAGTGCCAAACAAAGGAAGGAGGGGGACTGTCCTATGTACCTTTGGTTATAAAAAAAGAGGCAACCTAATTTTTTGACCATTGCATTCCACCAAACAATGACCCCTGAAAGGTTGAAGACATAACTAAATTTTTGTGTTATTTTTTGCCCAAAATGGCTGCTTCAAATACGCAACCAAATTCAGAAGTAAAGGTATGCATTGCCCAAAAACTTAACAAAATAATCTATGGACATATGTGCTCCCTCATGAGTAAAGTGTTTAACTGTTATCCCCGAAAGCTTATGAACATCAAGTTTAACATCTATCCCCTAAAACGTAAGAAAACTTTATGTTGCATTTTGGTCTAAAGCTTCAACAAATGACACTTTCGTTATATTATGCTGTAAAGCTGTACCATTGCCTAACATCAAATTTAGATCAGGGAACCCTCTCCCTTAAGTATATATAGTTCTGTCACATTTCACTACCTGTCACGATATATAGATTGAAAGAGATATTTAGGCTTCGTTTGGATTGAGGGATTTAGAGGGATTTGGAGAGAAAGAAAGGGAAGGATAATAATGAGTGTGTTTGGATGGGAGGAATAGGAGAGAAAAGAAAAGATTTGGAGGAATAGCAATCCTTCCAAATCCCTAATTTGGAATCTCTCCAAAATTGACAAGATTTGGAGGGATTTGGAGAGAAATGGAGCAAATTTACAAAAGGGGCAAGATAGTTGAGAGACAGCCAGCTGAAGTTGCGAATGGCGACCGAACTGGAACAACAAGAAACTGATTGATATGGGTTTTAATTTTTTTAACAATCTGAAATGATATACTTGTTTGGGTTTTGATATACAGTTGCAGAGAGAGAGGGAGGCTGAGAAGGAGATGGAGGCTATTGGGGAGCATGATATATATATATATATATATGTGCAGTTGCAGAGAGAGAGAGAGAAAGAGAGAGTTGCGCAGATTTCTAAATGATTCACAGGTAATATATATAATATATGTGTCTATATATAGAGAGAGAGGAGAAACCTAATCCACTGAGGAAATGCATGCGACTGAAGACAAAATTGATGATGCTAAAACTGAAATTAATCCAAATACCTAATTGAACCAGAATGTGTAAGCCATGGTTGACTGAATAGAGAATGAGCTAGAGAGATGCATACCTCTGTTCTGTAGTAATTGATCATTTTTTATTTTTGGAACAATTTGAAATGATATGCCGAGATATAGGTTTTGATGTTCTGAGTCTTGTAGATTTTGTAGTTTCCAGTTGGAGAGAGAGAGAGAGAGATAGAGAGAACGATGGAGGTGAGAGAGAGAGAACAATGGAGACGATTGGGAGGCTGAAATGATTTTGCCCTACTAACCCTACCAATAAGGGTAAGATGGTAATTTCATTATTATCCTTTTCCTTCTTTTCTCTCCTTTGTGTTATCCAAACAACAATATTGTCAATTCTTTTCTTTTCTCTCCTATCTATCCAAACATGAATATAAACTATAACTATCATTTCTTTTCTTTTCTTTTCTCTTATAATCATTTCCTTTCTTTTCTCTCCTATATATCCAAACGAAGCCTTAGGGCTGTGAGGGTCACTCATTTCAATCTTGTTATTTTATTTAGGCATTCTGATCCATTTTCAACTGTTAGGTCATTGCTACATGTATTTGTGGACGGACTAAAGTTCTAGAAGGCATTCTCATTAAAAACATGTCATGTATAGTCCTCTTTTCAACCTTAAAATACTCCATCCAATTATCTTGATTGACCTCTCCTCGGCAGGAAATTTCATCCAGTACCTGGTTACTAGAGGATCTGAAATTGAAAGAGCTCATGACTAAGACATCCTTTTTTCCCTTGGTGTCCTTTCTTTATGATGGGGTAACCGTAACCCTCATCACTCTAGCTACAAATGTCCAAGCTTTTCTGTTGTATAGTTAATGTGGAACCTCATGCCTGGCCACTATTGTTTTGGAGGAACAACTTGGAATTTGCAAGTCCATGGTTGTTGTACATCCGAAACTTGACAATTTATGGTAGTAGTGCTGTAACTTTTTTATGACACAAGTGGAAGTGGTTATTTGTTAATCGAATATTAGCCTTTTCCTTTATCAAGCAAATTAATCTATTATGGAGGACCATGTGGCTCTTCTTACCTTGTATTTTCTAGATGTGTGTTTATATTTGTCATCAAATCTCTTCTATTTTACCCATTTTGAAGTATATGTACTATTTATTTGTTATATGTATTAGAACTAAAAATATTATGATTGTATTGTTAACTTTAGGAGCCATTTCCTTTTTCTTTTTTTCTTTTTTTTGTGTGTGTGTGTGTGTGTCTTTTTGTGTATTATATTCCCAAAAAGAGAAAAAAGAAGAAGAAATGATATAGCACGCTCTCAGCTAAAGAAACTATAAAACCAAAGAGAAAAAGGCTTAACAACTTTAAAAAAGAGGCTTAACAACTTAAAGACTTGCTTATCCGAGAAAAAAAATAAATTAAAAAAACTTGCTCACATCCCGAGAATATAGGGAAATGAAGGTTACAAACTTAGACCACTTTCCATGTTCACTTTTTAGGAGCCATTTCTAGTTTCTACATCTGCCAAGTGTGATGATACATCTTCAAGTCTAAGAGTAGTTCTTCTGAGTCAAAATATCGAGAGTAAGTTTATTTCACCAATCCAGTTCTCCAAGCACCAGGTTTCTACCAGAGCAACTTTGAGTGATGGTTTTTTTTTTAATTGTTTGATGGCTACACTTTCTTGATCCCCAATTTCACCAATATAGTTCTCCGAGCACCAGGCTACCCCTAATTGATTAACATAGGGTGAGAAAAGTTTGGTTGCCTTAAATTAAACCTACGATAAGGATTTACCTAGAATGGTCTGGAGAAAATCGATATGGCTGACACCAAGTAGGTGGGATTGATCACTTTTGTTGTGCTTACATACCTGTTAGGTAGTAGCTACTCTGCAAGTGGTTTCAACTTTTTGAAAATTTACTTAGTTAATAGTTGGATGCAATATCAAACATGTTAATGTTAATACACTTTCTTATTTATGTAAATTTTATTTTAGAATTTTTATGCCCTTAAGATACTTAACATTGTATTTTATTTGTTTTCTCACTTGGATAATATTTCAGGTGTACTGAACTGGCTTCTAATCAATTGGATAGGTTGAGGTTTTTTGTTAATCAAAGTCTGGTGTCAATTGGGAACTGTCTAAAGTTACATGTGTTCCCTTTGGCATTTCCTGATATGTTCACCTTTTGCATTCGTTGTAGTTAATTTTTGTCCGAGTTTTTGTTTTTTTGATAAATTATTGGTTTGGTCTATTTGTAACATATGTTGGGTTTTATATTTACCTTTCTGACATCAGGGAGCGTAATGCATGATTGTCTTATTTTTTAGGATATAAAAATGATTCCTAAAAGGGTTTGTATCATATGATGTGGCAATGGTCTTGCAGAATGAAGCTGTGTTGAAGGCCTGTGCTGAACCTCCACCTTCAAAAACTTCAGTTGCTGGTGCCGTTGGAATAGTGGAGAAGGATGGCAGCAACACCCTGTCATGACCCAACAGATCGAGTCAGAGCAGGAGATGAGCCTGAAATGCCTGTGGCTCCTTTCTTCATGCAGCTGATTATTATTATTACTAATACTATTTTTGTCTCCAGGACTTGAACTATATCAATTATAGACACGCTGTTGTTTCTTCTGTTAGAAAAAATCTAAAGGGGTCTGTCTCTGTGGTGCATCCTCTAAAATGTTTTACCAGCTCATTGCTCTTGGAGAGTCATTTTTTTTCATCCAAGTAATATTCATAATTTACAATTTTGGATTTGGTGCTTGTAATACTTGATAATCAATCATTCACCAGCTATAACATATTTCATCCAAGTAATATTCATAATTTACAATTTTGGATTTGGTGCTTGTAATACTTGATAATCAATCATTCACCAGCAATTACATACTGAGTATTCATTAGTTACCCCCATCAAATGACGATGTTGGGACAAAGAAAGGTCTGTACCCCAATGTATCTCCTTTTACCTCGCAATTGGAATAAATTATATAGAGAGTAATGTCACGCCCCGCAACCAAGAGATTACGCCACGCAGGCACCACGCAGACGCTTAGCAGAAGATAACATGGAACATGCATGGACCGGAGCTTTCTAGACTTGTCTAAAGTTGTATAGAATTTTCTAGACTTGTCTTGTACATTGTAGATAGTTCTAGAATTGTGCAGATATATCTATAGAGAATTCTAGACACTTATTCTAGGCCACACATTTGTACACATTTATAATGTTCTTGTAAGGCCAAAGGCCTATAAATAAGAGGTGGGAGTTCATTTATTTCTCACCAAGCAACCAAGTTGTAATCTTCTCCTCTCAAGCAATACAAGTTTTATACATTCCCAAACTCTCTTACTCACTTGTCTAATCTCTTCCTACACACCAAAGTAAGCAAAACACTTGTTTAGTTTTAGTCTTCGCTAAGCTAGCATACTCAGGTAGGCTGACTTAGCTTTTCAAGGGGGCTTGAAAGTGTCTAAGGCCGCACGTGAGCTTGGAAAGGTCCAAGTACGTGACAGTTGGTATCAGAGCTAAGGTTGTGAGGCGTTACACCTTGTGTGGAAGAAGCTATGGCGGAGCTATCAGACATGACTAATACCCAAGAGGAGGAGACAAGTGGTAGGGAAGCAAATTTCCCTCCAGTCGGAGTGAGGACAAGGGCTAGGTCGAAGAACATCATGGCGGGCTTAGAGACATGCCTGGCAAACATGGAGGAGTCCATGGCCAACGTGAAAGAGCAGCTTGAGGATGCTCACTAGTGCATGGATGGGCTGGAGTCGGAGGACGCTGAAGTCCAGAATGCTGTCAAAGGGTCGCTCAATGCCCTAAGTGGTGACTTTCGGCAGGAGCTCCAAGCACTTTGAGAACTTACGTTGGGCGAGTTTGCCACCCTACGTGGCTATGTTGATCGGGAGCTTGGCACTTTCCGCTAGCAAATAGAGGAAATGCAAGCGGACATTGTGCAAACGGGCGGTGGCGTCCGGCATAGCTACTACGGGGGTAGTAGCACCCCGGGTTAATATTCCCAAGTTTAAGTGCTATGGTGGGAACCGGGTAGCGAGGGAGTTGGAAAACTTCCTATTCAGCATGGAGTAGTACTTTGAGGCTACTGGCATGACAGATGAGACCATCAAGATACGCACGGCGACTCTTTACCTCACAGACCATGCCATGCTATGGTGGAGGAAGAAGTATGGCGCAAGCCACTATGAGGAGCAGCAACAGCAACAGGAGGCGCAGATGGGTTCACTACAAATCCTTAATGCCATCAAGGCTAAAACTGAAGTCCCTAAGGCAGCGGCTAAGGGGCTAATGTTCGTGGAGGCGAGTATCAATGGGACACCCACACGTGCTTTGGTGGACATGGGTGCGACCCACAACTTTGTGAGCCTTGACGAGGCCAAGAGGTTGGGCCTCAAGTATAGCAAAGAAGGGGGCTCCATGAAGGCAGTTAACTCGGCAGCAAAGACTATATATGGCATGGCACACGGCGTCCAAGCATGCATTGGTGAGTGGGGTAGCCACATAGATTTATCGGTGGTACCCATGGACGACTTCAAACTAGTCATTGGGTTGGAGTTCTTAGACAAGGTGAGAGCTTTCCCCATTCCTTTTACTAACGCTATGTGTATTATAGAAGGCAACACAGCATGCATGGTGCCAGTAGAGCGAGGCGCCAAGTTGGAAGCCCAAGCCTTGTCAGCTATGCAGTTCAAGAAGGGCTTCAGGAAGGAGGAGACTAACTATCTTGCTACGTAGATGGAGACGCCCGATGATAAGCTAGTCCCTTCCCCACAAGAAGAGGTGCCTAAGGAGATACGAGCCGTGCTAGACGAGTACACGGACATGATGCCTAAGGAGCTGCCCAAAAAGCTTCCACTTAGGAGGGAGGTGGATTATAAGATTGAACTGGAACCGGGTTCTAAACCCCCTACTTTGGTGCCCTACCGGATGGCACCCCCAGAGTTGGAGGAGTTGCGGAGGCAACTCAAGGAACTGTTAGATGCGGGTTATATTCGACCCTCGAAGGCCCCATATGGCGCACCAGTACTGTTCCAGAGGAAGAAGGATGGGTCCTTGCGTATGTGCATTGACTACCGGGCGCTAAATAAGGTGACTATCAAAAACAAGTACCCCATTCCTCTTATTGCCGATCTTTTTGATCAGCTTGGTGGAGCACGCTACTTCACTAAGCTAGACTTGCGCTCGGGGTACTATCAGGTGCGGATAGCGGATGGGGATGAGCCTAAGACTACATGTGTGACGAGGTATGGCTCTTATGAGTTCCTTGTTATGCCATTTGGTCTCACCAATGCACCTGCTACTTTTTGTACTTTAATGAACAAGCTCTTCCATCCCTACCTGGATCGTTTTGTGGTGGTATACTTGGATGATATTGTTGTGTATAGCACCACTCTAGAGAAACACGTGCAGCACTTGAGGGCGGTCTTCCAAGTCCTACGGGAGAACGACCTATATGTGAAGACAGAGAAATGCTCCTTTGCATAAGAAGAGGTGTTGTTCCTAGGGCAAAAGATACGGGATAACAAGCTGATGATGGATGAGGCAAAGGTGAGGGCCATTCAAGAGTGGGAGCCGTCCACTGAGGTGACAGAACTACACTCATTTCTTGGGCTTGTCAAGTACTACCGCCGCTTCATCAAAAGTTACTCCGCAAGAGCAGCCCCATTGACAGACCTTCTTAAGAAGGCGCGTGCTTGGAGTTGGACAGAGTCATGCCAGGGGCATTTGATGACTTAAAGAGGGCAGTCACAGAGGAGCCGGTACTTAGCTTGTCCAACCACTCCAAGCCATATGAGGTGCACACGAATGCATCAGACTTTGCTATTGGGGGCGTGCTGATGCAGGAAGAACACCTTATAGCTTATGAGAGCCGCAAGCTTAATGACACCGAGCAGCACTATACGGTGCAGGAGAAAGAGATGACGGCGGTCATCCATTGCCTACGTACTTGGAGGCACTACTTGCTCGGGGCACAATTTATGATCAAGACGGATAATGTTACCACCAGCTACTTCTAGACACAGAAGAAGCTCAGCCCCAAGTAAGCTCAATGGCAGGACTTCCTAGCGGAGTTCACTTATCATTTTGAATACAAGTTGGGTAAGGCCAATGTTGTGGCGGATGCGCTTAGTCGTAAGGCCGAGCTCGCAGCTATCAGTCAGCCCAGCACCCTCTTGTGGAGCGGATCAAAGAGGGGTTGCAGCATGACCCTTTAGCCAAAAACCTTATTCAGCTGGCTAAGGAAGGGAAGACTCGGCGTTTTTGGCTAAGGGATGATTTACTCCTCATTACAGGGGACCGAGTCTTGTGCCCAGGTGGGGCAACTTACTGAATTAGCTAATACGGGAGTGTCATGACACCAAATGGGCAGGCCACCCAGGTATAGGGCGCACGTTAGCATTCCTAGAAGATTCTTACTATTGGCCTCGAATGCGTGATGACGTGGAGACGTATGTAAGGACTTGCCTTGTGGGCCAACAAGACAAAATAAAGCAACAGCATCCTGCAGGCCTACTGGAGCCACTGCTTATTCCAGAGAGACCATGGGAGAGCGTCTCTATGGATTTCATCACTTGTTTGCCCAAGTCAGAGAGTTACGGGAGCATTATAGTGGTGGTAGATCGGTTTAGCAAGTATGCCACATTCATACCCGCACCAGCAGATTGCATGGCAGAGAGGGCAGCATACCTGTTTGTCGACCATGTGGTCAAACTTTGGGGAGTTCCGTAGAACATTGTCAGTGACAGAGACCCGCGTTTCACGGGTAAATTTTGGACGGGGCTCTTCAAAAAGATTGGGACGGATCTCAACTTCTCTACGAGTTTCCACCCCCAAACGAATGGGCAGACGGAGCGCATCAATGCTCTCCTGGAGCTTTATTTGCAGCACTATGTAAGTGCCAACCAGTGAGATTGGGCCAAACTCCTTGGGGTGGCATAGTTTTCTTGCAACTTGCAACTTGCAACGGAGTGAGGCTACCAATCACAGTCCCTTTGAGGTTGTTATCGGACGGCAGCCTATGACACCCAACGCCATTGTTTCGACTTACGATGGTAAGAGTCTGGTGGCCTACAAATTTGCCAAGAGGTGGCATGAGCAGTCCGACTTGGCTAGGGTGTACCTTGACAAGGCGGCAAAGAAGATGAAAAAGTGGGCCGACACCAAACAAAGACGGGTGGAATACATAGTGGGAGACCAGGTGATGGTTAAGCTACTACCCCAACAGTTCAAGTCTCTACGGAGCGTTCATAAGGGGTTAGTAAGGAAGTACGAGGGCCCATTCCCCATTGTCAAAAGGGTGGGTAAGGTCTCCTATATGGTGGAGCTTCCACCCAAGTTGAAGATTCATACAATCTTCCATGTCAGTATGCTCAAGCCTTATCATGAAGACATGGAAGACCTTACGTGGGGCATATCGCAAAGGGCACCCACGACCGTTGTCACATTCTTTGACAAGAAAATTGATTGCATCCTTGCAGATCGTGTGATGAGCAGGAGAGGTGTACCCAAGTATACATAATACTTAGTGAAATGGAAGAACCTGCCAGATAGCGAGGCGAGCTGGGAGCATAAGGATACACTTTGGCAGTTCGCGGAGCATATCCAGCGGTTCAAGCAAGAAGACGCGACGAGGGTGTCGCGAGCTTAGGTGGGGGAGAATGTCACGCCCTGCAACTAAGAAACTACGCCACGCAGACACCCAGCAAACGATGATATGAGCCTGCATGGATCGGAGCTTTCTAGAATTCTCTACACAAGTATGGAACTTTCCGAAATTCTCTAGATTAGTATGGAGTTGTCTAGCCTTTTCTAGACTTGTCTAGAGTTGTATAGAATTCTTTAGAATTCTCTAGACTTGTCTTGTACATCGTAGATAGTTTTAGAATTGTGTAGATATATCTTTAGAGGATTCTAGAAACTTATTCTAAGCCACACATTTGTACATATCTAGAATGTTCTTATAAGGCCAAAGGCCTATAAATAAGAGGTGGGAGTTCATTTGCCCCTCACCAAGCAACCAAGTTGTAATCTTCTCCTCTCAAGCAATACAAGTTCTATACATTCCCAAACTCTTTTGCTCACTTGCCTAATCTCTTTCTACACACCTAAGTAAGCAAAACACTTGTTTAGCTTTAGTCTTCATTAAGCTAGCACACTAAGGTAGGCTGACTTAGCGCTTCAAGGGAGCTTGAAAGTGTCTAAGGCCGCATGTGAGCTTGGAAAGGTCCAAGTACGTGACAGTGTCACGTTGTGATTTCTAACGACGCCATGAGCATAGAAGACATGCATGTTGGTTGGTTAAGAACATTCATTGACTGGGAATGCTTTCAGGGAAGGGGCGTGCATGACCACAAGATGGTACTTCTTCAGAGTTCAGGCAGGTCGACTCGGTCAGTTCGAGGTGTTTGTCGCTAGTCGTGCACTTGACTATAAAGAAGGGAGTTGGCCATCCCTGCACAAACTGGTCGGGAGCTGGAGTTGTTCTCCTGACGAGGCCAAGGCAGGTTGAAACTAGTCAGCATGTATCCTTGGGAGGACAGGTCGTGGTGGCTGACCAAGGTGCTTACGCGAGCTGAAGCAACGCCTTGGTGCCGCACGGGCCGTGCCGCTGCGCCAAATCTCTAGGCCCGTGACAAATGGTATCATAACAGGACTTGGGGCAAAGCACAGAGGTGTGCCCTCTTGTCAATCCGGGGGTCTTGAGAATAAAGTGGGTGCACTAAAGCGTCGATGGGCAATCAATGCTGTTGGAGGAGAGCCTCTATCTCCCCAAGAAGATGTGTCCTTTGAAGTCGGAGGGCCGCGCGCACCAAAGTTCTTGCAAGTTCAAGAGGCATGCAAACCGTTGTGAAGGGCGGGTATCAAGTCAGCCGGAGGGCCCTTGTTTGCTCGGGGTGTCGCAGAGGCAGCATAATGTGGTGTTGCGTCCCGAAAAAGTAGGCGTCCCGAAAAAGTAGGCGTCCCTTTAGCCCGAAACCCTATCATTGGGCGAGTGCAGCTAGAGGTTGTACAAGGAAGCGATGGTGGGCAGGCGAGCATACCACTTGGAGGAGAGAGACTTTAGAATGTTGGACGCAGTGGAGTCAGCGCTGTAATACGACGAGGTCGTCGCAGCATTCAGGTGGGAGAGTGTCACGTTGTGATTCCTAACGACGCCATGAGCATAGAAGATATGCATGCTGGTTGGCTAAGAATATTCATTGACTAGGAATGATTCCAAGGAAGGGGCGTGCAGGACCACAAGATGGTACATCTTCAGAGTTCAGGGAGGCCGACTTGGTTCAGTTCGAGGTGCTTGTCCCTAGTCGTGGACTTGACTATGAAGAAGGGAGTTGGTCATCCCTGTACAAACTGATTGGGAGCTGGAGCCGTTCCCCTGACGAGGTCAAGGCAAGCCGAAACCAGTCAGCATGTATCCTTGGGAGGGCAGGTCGTAGTGGCTGACCAGGGCGCTTGCGCAAATTGAAGCAATGCCTTGGTACCGCACGGGTCGTGCCGCTGCGCCAAATCTCTAGGCCTGTGACAGTAAACTTGGGGTGAGAGGTTGGACAAGTTAAGTTATTTGATGGAATAATCATTACTTAACCTAACAAAAAAAAAAAAAAAAAATTGGGAGGATGATTTAGAATAAAAATACACTTGAGCAAGAAATTAGTTGAATGCCTCAACGAAGATCAGTCTTTTTTTTGAAGGAAGGGTACAGTTACGGATACATTAAATTTCTAAGGTAATCAAAGTTGTTCAACAATAGGGAAGTTTTTTTTGGAATGGCAAAAAAAAAAAAAAAAAAAAAAACTGATACCAAGTAAATTAAAAATTACTCCTCAAAAACTGGGTTTAAATATATGGGGAAAGGACAGACGGAATAGAAAAAGAGGAGTAAAATCAGCATGCCAGTGATACAAAACACAAGTTTGTAAAAACCTGAAATAGCCCCCTATTGAAATATAAAATGAACTCATGTTAAAAAAATGTTTTTCGGGTTTTGAAAATAGAAACTAATCCAAAAAAACAGAAAAAATAGAAGTTGGGTAAAATACTAGTGAGCCCCAAGGAGAGAGGAAGGGTGTTAGAAACTGGGAGCAAAAGAAGAGAGAGAGAGTGAGAGAGAGAGAGAGAGAGAGAATGGAGATAATTCAAGCAAGTTGGAGTTGGAGTTGGAGTTGGAGTTCCAGCAACCTCCAATTTCTCCATCTTCAAATGCCTGCTTTGAGCCTTGGCTTTCCTCACTCCTCCTCCGTTTTTTCTAATAATTACAACCACACATTTCACACACCACTTCCAACCTCGCCTCTCCCTCCAAACCCCCAACTTCGTCTTCAATCATTCCGTAAACCACTCAGCACAACCCGTTCACTCCCAGATGAAGCTGCTTCCGGTGGTTAGAAAACCTTTGATTCCATATCATCTACATATATATACTAGTTTATTTGTTTCTTACGAATCTGTGGAGTTACTGACTAAAGTAGTAGTATTACTGGATTATTGTTTGCCATTTTTGTTTTTCGCCTGCAACTCTCAATTTTTTAATTATTACTGTGCTCGTTTTTTAATTGGTAACCTTGATAGTTCGCATACCAAGTGTTCGATAATATTTTGCTGCCAGTTTTGTGTTCCTATTTTTAATTTATGAAATTTTTCAGTATTGTTTGAATTATTTTCCTGATTATTTTCCTGTATTGTTTGAATTATTTTTTAACTTGTCACATTCACGTTCAACTATTTTAAGGCATTTGACTGTTCAAATTTGTTGGGTATGGTTCTAAGATATCAAGTGCAGTCTCTGAAAACTATACGTTGTACTCATAAATCTATTTTTCTTTTAACATAGTTTATGTTTTCTTCTTTCTAAGGTTCAGCTTCAAACGTTGTTGGTATTGATTCTTCTCTAACACTGAAGGTAAGACCTTAAAGCCTACCTAACCTAATTGTAAAGGCCCGAATTGGTTTTTTGATTAAAAAAAAAAAAAGAAGTCTTTGAAAGGGCTTTCAGTGTTTCTATATAATTAAGAACTTTTGCTTATCAATATATATGTAATGAATGTTTTTTTTTCCCAGAAGTTTTCTGTATAATGAAGGATTATCTTCTTCTTCCATTTTTTTTCCCTCTATTTCTGAATCACCCACATAGGCTATTGGGGTTTATCATTTACCTTATTTTTCCAGTACAATGATATATGGCGTTAAATAGTTTTCAGATGGTTTAAAGTGCTCATTTTAACTGTTCAGTTTTAATTCAGAAGAAGGCAATAGAGATATCCTCTGAACTAAAAGGAACTTCAATATTTCTTGTTGGTAAGCTTCAGTTTGTATTGAATGAAGAATTTCGGTTCTTGAATCTAATGGCAACTTTGTATGTGTACTTGTATGTTCGATGTAATAATTACTGTAACATCAGGGATAAATAACACCATCAAAACTAGTCTGGGGAAACTTCTAGCAGAGGCATTGCGATATTATTACTTTGACAGGTATCCATGTGTTCTCATTGTTGCAAAATCACGTAAGGGTAGCTCCACATATTATAGCCCAAGTGATTCTTTTGTCTTCTCTGTAAGCAGTGATAGTTTGGTGGAAGAAGCTGCTGCTGGTGATTTTGCTACCAAATCATTTAGAGAGACAGATGAGAAGGGATTTCATGAATCAGAGGTGGACTTCTTTATAATTTCATTTGTTATCATGCTTAAAGGAGATAATTACATCTGTTTTACATGGGGACAGACTCCAGTTTTTTTAAAAATGACTAGTGGCTAACATTAAGTACACCAATTTTGCAAATTGCTTTTCTAAAGAATCTAATTAGCTGGCTAATTCTTGAATTGATATTTATTTGCAGACTGAAGTACTCAAGCAGTTATCCTCCATGGGTCGTCTGGTTGTTTGTGCTGGAAATGGTGCAGTTCAGAGTGCAGCCAATCTGTATGAACAATTTTTTTTTTTTTTTTCCCTAGTCAATCTATATGAACATTGATTGTACTAGTCTATAGTTTTTCTGCTCACCATGATGCTCTTCACAAGTTCATTGTTTAAGACTTATTCACCAATTAACGTTTATAGGGCATTTTTGAGACATGGGATTTCTATATGGATAGATGTCCCTTTAGACATGGTAGCCAGGGGGTTCGTAGAAGATGGATGTCAACTTTCTGCATCAGAAAATTTTAATTCTGTACCTAATTCTGAGGTTTGTTCTTTCCACTCAAACTTCCAGCTATTGTTTTCGGCATTTTAGAGCACTCCTGAATTTCTATTAACTATTTATGAGGAATGCTAATCAGGTGATGACTCAGCTAACTGTGATGTACGAAGAAATGCGGGGTGGATATGCTATAGCGGATGCTACTGTTTCACTACCAAGTATATTTTTCTGCAACTTAGGCTTATGCTATGTTGAATTTATTAAGTTCCATTGTTTCTAATGGCTACTTGTCTTAGCAGAGGTGGCTTCTCAGTTAGGTTATGATGATTTGGATGCAGTAACCACAGAAGACATGGCTTTGGAGGTGAAGAAATATATATGCATTGTGAACATGTTCTTAAGTTTGAATTGAATTAGACAAGCAGACTTACAGGGGATTCCTCTTTCCGTTTATGATAATTTCAGGTTCTCAAGGAGATAGGTAGACTGACGAGAGTTAAAAAGATGATGGAAGCAGCTGCCAGACCATTTTAGCTCACAAGGACCACACTCGCAAATCTTGTAACTAAAAGCACTTGCAGCCATGTGTAAGTTTTTCCATCAACACCTATCCTGTAATTGTTGTGACTGGAAGCATCGAGTAATGTGTTACTATGAGGTGTATATGAAACCAAACATATTTTCGTTATGCTCTGTTTGCTTCAATGAAAATTGTTTCTGGGTAGCATTTTGAACAGAACGGCAACAGATGTACATGAGCTGTTGCTCTTCACGCGAGGTGATAAAGGGGATTGGGGGATAACTTCCAACCATATATTTAATGGAAACCATCATCTAGCATAACACAATAAATTGGGAAATTTTAATTATCATATTTGCTGCTTTCATGTTAACCTAGAGTAAACTTTATAGTGCTATTTTATTTATTTAATATTCAATAGGCAGTCAAGTGCATGTTGTGGACTTTTTTGATTGTAACTTTCAATCAAGAGACTCAATGGAAATGGAAGGAAGCAAAACTTTGAGCATTATTGTATTGAACAGGTGTAAATCCTGGCACAAGATTTTAGTATTCCATTGCTTTGTTGGTCTTGTTGGTTGTGTTGTTGTGGCATAAAATGTTTCTACTGTAGTTGTTGTGAATCCTAATGTGGATAAAATTTGGCTAGGTTGTTACCTTTGCCTAACAGGGAAAAAGAAATTTTTTGGGGTTTACATGGCTTTCGATGAGCATATATATACTTGTAATAATGTTTTTTCCTACTCAACCTAGTAACTAACCATTTGCATGGATCATGCTATATTAGAGCATTTTCTAATGACTTAAATTGTTGTATGGAAAAAGAAGAAGAAGAAGAAGAAGAAGAAGAAGAAGAAAGATGATAAATGGTGAAATTGAGCTTTCTTTAATTTAAACATGTAAGACCCAATAAAATAAATAAATTACACTACTAATGTAATATCCCAAACAATGATTGCATATTAAATTTGGATCAATCACATGTTGAAGCAAATACCAAAATTAAGTTGTCTTACATTCAAATCACTCACTGATTGCACCGACAAACAAAAGGGCAGATTGGGCACTTGAAAAAAATGCCCAAGTGTGTTTTTTTTAAATGCCAACATTAGCATTTTTGAAGACTTGGACGAAATAAGTCACATGGAACATGAGTGCGAAATTGAACCGAGTGTAAAACAATAAAATTTTAAAGTTTGTTTGATTTGTAATTTTGAGAATAATTTTTTATTTTTACAAAATTATACAAAAATTTTAGTTAATTCAATTTTTTGAAAATTATTTACAAAGTGTAACTGTTTAAAAAAAAATTGTAGGACTTATGTGCTAAATACTAAAAATATATATATATATATAGAAGAAACAATCAAGTAAATTAATTGAAGGTGAACATGATAATGTTTACGTTTTTCTGTGCATGTCGGAATGCGTTACTCTAGATGCAATTATATATTGGTGCCATGTGGCTCTCGTTAATAGTATCTTTGAGCAACGTGTCAACAACCATAGATGTTCCACTGCATTCTTATTTATCTATCTTATTAAAATTATTATTATTTTTCACACTATTATAATAATTTAATAAATAAAAAATTTACAAAAGTAGCATTTTTTCACCTTTTAAAATATTTAATTCTCTATATAGGTACGAGTTTTTTTTCTGAACAAATAATAATAATAATAATAATAATAATAATAAAACTTTTATTTATTGTCAATAGTAATTAATTTTAATATTATTAACCTATTACTAATGCATGGAACACAATCGCATGACTTCATTCATATATCACTGTATCATAAACTTCTTTTAAATTAAACATTTTGTTTGAAAGTTAAGAGGTATTTTTTGTGTTTATATGTTACTCGTTTTGTAAGATTTATTTGTTTCTTGAATTTTGTAAACATTAAGCAAAAATGTGTTTGGCAATGAACAAATACATTTAACACAATCTTACTTTTGAACTAAAACTCCAAGGTAACTATTGCAACAACTACTGATCAAATTAACAAATTTAATTATGATTCAAAATCCTAGCAACTGAAATACTATATATATAACCAAACTCATATAATTTCATTAGAAATTTTCAATTTTGTTAATTTTGCTCATACAAATTGAACATCACTTTGATTCTTCTCCGCCTTAACAAGCTTCAGTATGATTGGAAGACCTCTATGGAGCGGCAAGGTAGGGTTAGGTGAATTCATCCTCAAACCAATCAATTAAGTACAACCTGAAACGTCAATGGAAAAAAAACAATTATTTGGAATTACGCACATGTACCAAAAATTATTGAGTTCTGCCAAACAAATTAAAATATCATGAGAAACAGAAAATCAAACATAAAAGTGATTGGGTGAAAAGACAAACTTGCAATTGAGTCTGAACAAGAAGAGAGGGAAACTTGCAATTGAAAGTGGATAAGAAGAGAGGGATGAACCTCCGAGACGGATAGAGTTTAGATTGGGGTCACATTAGGTGAATAAGAAAAGAGAAAAGAGAAAATAGCGTGAGAGGTAAAAACGAGTTCAAATTGGAGTCTCCTTCTGTAAATAAGAAACTTGTAAGCGGGAATAAAAGTTTGGTTAGAGCATCTTCAACCGTTGTGTATATTTTTTGGGGTAAATATATGTGTTATATTTACACAAAAAAATTTGAATTATTTATTTTTAGCAACGGTTGTTTTATACCTTTTGTATAAAAATATATCCCTCAATAACAATTAACCAATGTCATGTCTAGATCCCACATAATTTTTACAGTTCTACTTAATATAAATATAAGGTTGATTTGTTAATTGAATGAGAAAGATGGAGGAAAAAGGAAATATGTTGATGTGTGTGTAAAAAGGTTGTGTAAAATATACAATAATTTTACACATTGATGGCGTGACAATATATCTTAACAGACTGTTGGAGATAAAAAATAAATAAATTACACATCATACGTGTCATTGTATATTTTACACAAAATAATAGTAGGGTATCTCCAATCGTTGTGTATATATATATTTTTTATGTAAATCTGATGTGTCATAATAGATTTATACAAAAATTTCGAATTATTTATTTTTAGCTCAAACGGCTTTTTTATATAAAAAAATATCCCCAATAACAACCAATCAGTATCATACCTGGACCCCACATAATTTATACTACTTAATATAGAGTTAATTCATTAATGGAATGAGAAACACGGAGAATAAAGGAAATATACTGACGTGACTGTGCAAAAAGGTTGTGTAAAATACATAATAATTTTACAAATTGGTGACGTGGCCTTGTATCTTAACAGATTGCTGGAGAGCAAAAAAAATTACACATCATACATGACAGTGTATATTTTAAAAATAAAAAATAAAAAATATATATATATTTTAACTGGAGATGTTCTAACATACTGCTAGAAATGCTCTTAGAAACAAGAAGAAATAACTCTTTTTGAAATTTTTTTTACTTAGAAATTGGCCTTTAAAGAATATGTTCCTAAATTTAAAAAATAAAAATAACTCTACCAAACATATTTATATTACCTATTTCTGTTTTTTGAACTTTTAAAAACAAAAAATAAGAAGAGTTAAGTGCAAAAAAACCCCTCATCGATATAGTGTAAAACGGTCCATGTTGTTAGGAAACGTGCAAGTTTTAAAAACTTTTCGAGGGATTTTGATTCATAGATCTTGATTCATCACATATAGACAAGTTTTATGCAAAAATAAAACATGATGTATCATTCAATTAACAGATTGAATACTTACATTAAAGGTCTGAGTAAACCATTAAATCTTTCCTCTAAAGTGAATGTTCTCACTTATTGTAGATCCCTTAGCAAGATGCCTTCTCCTTGGATCTCCATTTTCTTGGTAATTATTTTGCCTTTAGGAATCACTCATAAGCCTCTATGAATGACTTTGGAAAACTAGATTTGTGGGAGCTTCCATTAGATGAGAACATAAATCCTAATTTTCTAGAGAGAGAAAATATATTCCTTTTTTCCTTCTACTAAAAATTACACTAAAAATATACATAGACCGTGTATATTTATAAGCAACATAAAGATAAAGAAAAGGAAACAACAAATCCTTCTCAATCTCTAATTCACATGTCTCAAATCTAATATGATACCAATATCAAGTTAGGCTATGAGTGAGAATCCATTGGACCTATTATTTTATTGGCCACAATGAATTAATAATTGGCCCGGTCCATGGACCCAATTCAATTAATTCATAAATTAATTTCTACTCCACTAAAAGAAATTAATTGAACTCCAATTAAATAATAAATAACCTCTAAGTCAATATTGCACTTTGACCCCTCTATGCATAATTAGTTATCGGATAAATAAAGATATCAATCCGACTACTTAATTAATATATTTATTTTGGTACCTTTGATTATTTCTGGCTCGATCACAATAAAACATTTGTTTGACAAAAATAATAATTTAAATAAATAAATATATAATAAATCATTTTGTCTAAAAACACACGAAGGCCTTCGAATTTACTTTGTGATCAATCATAATCAATACAAAATAAATGCAAGTAGCAATGATGCAAATATTGAAAATATAACCCTCTAACTATTAATTACATAACTACCCAAAGTGTCGGTCTAAGGATCCCGAAGAATTCGCCGAACAAATCAAAGTAATTATTAATTAATAAAAGAGTCTATACTTTTCTCATGCTTAAGAGTCAAATGCCATGACGGTGATAGGGAGCAATTGAATACGACGGCTCTCGCAATATATCTCAACCTAACGTAGATCCAGTTCAAGTCTTAATTAATTATGATTCCATCCATAATTACCGCTTATGAACAATTTATGATTACTATTTATATTCATGTATTAATCGCCATTACATACATATATAAATATCTCTTGTAATCAAGAGTATATTATCAATTCTATAATGAATCGAAACATAATACATTGAATTCACCAATTGTACAAAACATAAATATTTCAGAAACGTTAGAAACACATGTCACTTTAATCCAAACAGAAATTTGCTATGTCAGAGCATATAAATCCCAACAGCTCCCACTTGCCCTCATAGCCAATTCAAATTGCACCTAACTCCAATGTTATCCAGATAATGATCAAAATTATTGATCAATGACACCTTTGATAATGGATCAACAAAGTTGTGTTCCAA